GACCACGACCGAGAGGCCGGCCGGCGAGCACGACCACCATCAACCCAGAGCCTTGAAGCGCAGCCGTGCACGGCAGCACGGTCAGCACAAGAGGCGTGCCTGGAATCGCAGTCAATCAGGCAAGCTCCGGCGTATCACCGCGCAGGAATGCCTGACGTCGAACTCCCAACAGCGAGCAACGAGCCTTTTTGGTCAGATGTGTTAGTGAGACTGCAGTGAATCAGTGTTATGTGTCTAGTGAGTTAAAGGACAAATCGCGTAGTGCTCGTGTAGTGAATAAAGGCAGCTCGCCTGTGAATTTCCACTAAGAGTTCGATCGTACCTTATAGTGGAATTTTTTTTATATTTTAGTAATCATCTTAATTTTTAGCAAAATATTGTTCCATCACCTTGTAACATATTTATCATATCATTTCATCAGCAAACCTTCATCCTCAATTCTGGCCCGGGAGTATGCATGCTGTTATACTTTGAGCTGTGTCAGCACTTCATTCATTTATGAAATCATTCTTCAGTTCAGTTCACGTTCATATTCGACTATCAATTGACGTGTTGCGGCTCACATATATCATTATCATTAATATAATTTTTATCTATCAATATAGTCAGTTACATTTATCCCTGAGTTTACTGATTTATCCTGTAACTTAAAACCCTGGTGTATTATTTATTGTACTTCAACTTAATATGTGAACATGACATGTGAAAATAGTGGCCAGGTTGACATGGTCTACACAGATTTTGAAAAGGCATTCGACCGTGTAGACCTCGTTATCCTGTTACGTAAGCTGTACGCGTTAGGTATTCACGGTGACCTACTTAGGTGGGTTGAATCGTACCTAACTAATCGCTCTCAGGCTGTTGTATTGGGTGGGTTTAAGTCTGACTTTGCATCTATTCCCTCTAGCGTTCCCAAGGGATCGCACCTTAGCCCTCTCTTCTATAACGCCTATATTTTTAACATAATTTACCACATCAAGCACTCACATTACATACTCTACGCTGATGACAAAAAGATTTACACATCCATCAACTCCTTATCTGACTGTGTCTTACTTCAAGAGGATCTCGACTCTTTATTCAGGAACTACGCTAAAAATAATATCACGGTTAGCATCAAAAAATGTCAAAGTATATCCTTATAAAAAAAATCCTATCATTTACCAATACAGTTTTAACGGCGTTGCAATCGAGAGGGTCAAGGTTGTGCGAGACCTGGGTATACTTTTGGACTCGGAGATGTCCATGCGGCAGCACATTGATGCTATATGCAGCAGATCATTTCGCAATCTCGGTTTTGTCCTAAGATCTTGCCTACCTTTCAACAGTTTGTTGAGCTTAAGTGTTGTTTATATTGCTTTTGTTCGTAGTTTACTGGAATACGGTTGTCAGATATGGTCTCCCTGTTATGCGATACACAAAGGCAGCCTGGAGCGCATCCAGAAAAAAATTATAGATCACCTTAATTTTAAATTTCGTCACAGCTTACATGATTACAGAGAAAATTGTCGTATTTACAATCTACTAACTCTAGAGGAAAGGCGTATTCTGATGGATATGGGGTTACTCTATGACATTTTTAGAGGACAGATCGATTGTCCTATGCTTTTAAATAATATTAAGTTTAATGTACCCAAGAAACGCACTAGACACACTACACTATTTTGCACTTCATTTCACTCGACTAATCACGGTAGAAATGGTATAATATCACGTTTACTCGACTCTTATAATAAACACTTTAATAGTGTGGACATATTTATCGGTTCTAAGGACAATTTCAAAAAACGAGTTTCGCTTAAATTACTATCATCATAGGCTTTCTAAAATGTCAACATCATTGCACTGAATGGCTGGTTTTTTAGGTTTCTAGATGATATAAATCTTTTAATGTATTTATTCAATTTAATTTTTCTCCCATATTTATATATGTGAATGTGTTATTTATTTCAGTTATTTATTATACATCAATACACCCATGTTTTCAAGGTTTACCAATCAGTTTTAATATTATGTATTGTTATTAGCATATTCATCCACTATATGTATCTACCGTGGATAACTTTTATTGGCTACTCATGTAATCATAGTTTACTACCTAGTTAAGAATTGCAGCTGTTGTTATCCCTAAATAATAAAATAAAATAAAATAAATAAAATGACATTACAATCTGTGTCCCCCAAAACCGCGTTGATGGTTTGACTGGAGGATCGAGTCTCCGTACATTTACCTTATTTAAGTAAATCATTTCAAAACTATTACAGGTAGGTATACAACAGTAGCCTATTACAACAAATAAAAAAAAATACCTTTTGAGTTTCCTCTTAAATCCTACTTTGTCTGTTTCTCGCCTGATGTCCAACGGCAGATGATAAGGCAATCGTTTTTTTAGAGTTCTGTCACCATAATAATTATGTACTCTTGGAACAGTATATCTGCCGTGGGTCACCGAGCGAGTGTTATATTCATTAGTGATTTCCCTCAAGTAATTCTCCCGACTGCCACGATTATTTACTAAGAGTTGGTACTTATGTTTTAATGTAACTTGTACAATTCTACATGTTTTAAACAGTTTAGTGTAATTATTTTTATATTTTTCTTTAACATTTTTGTTAACGAGTAATTTTATGAACCTAATTTGAATTGCTTCCAGTTTATCAATGTATGTTTTGAATGTGAGACCATAGCAGTCGAGAGCATAACCGATTATTGAATCCACCAGTGACATGTACATCTTAATGTGCTAATAGGAACCTTGAAACTCAAATGAAAAAATTTGTTTAATAATATTCTGAGTTTATACAGTAAGTTTATACGGTAATTTACACAGTTAGTTATTTCAATAGGTGTACATTTACAATTTATTTATTTATTATGAAAGCAGGAAAATGTATGTGTATACAGCGGTAAAGATTGGGTAGGTAGTTGTGAGTAGAGCGAATGTATTACAAGTGATTTAGTTTTGTCGGAGTTTAGTACAATACCGTTATCGTGAGACCATTTCGATCGAGTCTATGTTTTGTTGTACTTATCTACAAATATCGACGATATCGGTGCCAGCTCGCAGTATACACAGGTCGTCTGCATATATGTGGGCTGTTTAGTGTTGCAGGACGTTGCATTGGCTATTTACGTGCATCAGGTAGCTGACAAGACCGCATCCGGATCCCTGAGCCACCCCACAGTTTACTTCTATCTTGTCACTGTATGTATCTGTCACTTTTACGCGGTAGGAACGCGCTGTGAGATAATCACTGAACCATTTATTCAGTGGTTCTCCCACACCGCATTCCTCTATCGCACGTAAAAGCGTGTTAGTGTCTAAAGTATCGAAAGCTTTTTTGTTATAGAAAAATATTAAAATTACTTGTTTATTATCTTCTAAGCAGTTGTTAATTTCATCAGAGAATTTTGACAGTAACGTATTTGTACTGCTCCCTTTTATAAAACCATGTTGACTGCTATGTAAAATTTTATTTTTAACTAGGTACTTATTTAATTGACTGACTATACATTTCTCCATTACTTTATCGACACTTGACAATATAGCTATTGGCCTGTAATTAGACACAATTTTACGCCTGCCTTTTTTATGGATTGGGCGAACTATTGATTCCTTTAATTGGTAGGGAATTTTGCCGTGTAGTACAGAGAGGTTAACCAGCTTCGCCAGTACAGGACTCACTTTATCAACTATCAGTTTTAGGTCGGACATGCGAATGAGATCACTACCAGGTGATTTGTTGATATCCATTTTTTTTATTATATTTTTTATCTCGTTGCAAGTAACAGGCTGCCATCTCATACACATTTCCGGTGGTTTAACATAGGATTCTCTATTTAAAAATGTATTGTCGCACACGTGTTTTATGTCCTTTATTTCTTGTGAAAAAGTGTTTGCGAATTGGTCACATATATTTTTAATACTTAGTCGTGTAGCAGTGTCCTTCCATATTCGACAGCATGTTGTTAATTTTTTCCCATAGCTTTTTGATATTATTTTTACATTCTAATATACATTATTTCTCATATTTGTTTCTACTTTTATTAATAGCTTTGTGACACTTATTTCTAAATTTGGTATAATTAAGACGCTTTAGCATATTCTTTGATTCCTTACTCCATATGTTGAACAATCTATCTCTTTCTTTTAACATTTTCTTTAGATTGCTGTTAATCCATATTTTATTTCTATTGCTGTGAACTAATTTTCTGTTTTTGTAACATTCACTATAAATTGAAACAGATCTCTGACTTAAAGCGTTGTACAACTCAAAAGGACATTCCAATGAGATTATGTCATCAAAATTAATACATAATAATTTTTCACGTACCTTAATTCGATTATTGTTTACTTCGACCGATCGCAGGTGCGACGACGCTCGTGCGCTCGGTTCTCGGAATATTGTCCATCCCGTACGTTTCCATTCCACCCCGTACGTTTCCATTGCACCGCAACTGCTGTTAAATAATGATCGGATATTTTATGTTTAATTACCGCAGAGTCTATAGACACATCACTTGCTCGTACATAAATATGATCCAAGCAAGACTGCGCTATTTCCCTTATCAAAATTTATTTTCGTGTGACATCCTTGATGCACTGTATAAACCCATACTCGGACAGTAAGTTTTGGTAAGAAATTACATGATTAGCGGATTTATTAAACAAGTTAATATTTATGTCGCCACACATTATAGCTTTTAAATCTGTTGGTAATGTTTCTAGCAAATTGCGGAATTCCGTCAAAAACTGGTTAATCATGTTTGTTTTGTTAATTCTTGGAGGATAGGCAATATATGAATTAATTCATTATTAAATTGTAGTGCAATGGAAACACACTCGGCCGACCGCATTCCTGTTACTATGGTCGATTCGCACACTCGCGCGCAGAATTCTGCACGCGTATACACCAATACCCCGCCGCCACTGCGACCCGTTCGTGTAAAGACACTCAGATTATACCCCCTTATATGGAATAACGATAGTAAGGAGTAGTTAATATTGTAGCTTAGTAATTTTTTCTTTAGCTTGTTCCTGCTCACTAACCAATACATCATACTTATCAGATAACACACTTAAACTTTGTTGAATTGTGTCTAGATGTTTCCTGATGCTGGGTATAGAACTGACCTTTTTCTGTATATCTTTCAGGATTTTTAGCAGTTCTTGCTCTTCCTCATCAGGCTCCTCTACTTCCGATCCCTCTTCCTCGCAGTTGTTGCAGTAAATTCTATTTATATCTGCCTTCATATCTGCTGCCAGTCCTCTCACACAGCTCCTGTGAAAAGCCCCCTGACACTGTCCTTGACACATGAAATGCGATCCCTTTTTTGAAAGTGTCTTTTTACACTTCTGGCATTCCATATTGACTCGATTTATGTGGTTAAACTGTAAATAACTAGTCGAAGTCGATGTAATTTAACGTAGCGTACGTGCGCATCGATCGCCGCTGCGCGCTAGACTGAGACTGAGATTGGCAGCATTGATTTAATTATTTAATAGTTGATTACTTCCGGGTTCTAGAAAGTAGAGCGTCAGTTGGTCAGTTGGTGCCCGTGCAAGATTTTGTGTTGTATTGCAATGAGTCCCGCTGATTTTATTTTGAAAGTAACAATATTAGTTTTGTTGTGGAGTGTGTGTGTATGTGTGAAATTAGGTTTCTTACTAGTGTTTTAAATATATTGATTTATCGATATTAACATTTATAATGCCGCGAGTGACCTTTACAGCCGCGAGTGACCTTTACAGCCACGGAGTATACTGACATGGTCCTAATTTACGGAGAATGCCATCAAAACGCTTTTTAGCTTAACATGTTTGTCCTACAGACAGTCGAACTTTTGTTTTGGTCGTCAGGAAGCGTCTTAATCCCATTTTTGGTGAACAGTGGACACACGATGGCTACCTAGACCACCAGATCTCACGCCTTTAGACTTTTTTTGTAGGGATGTGTTAAAAATGAAGTGTATGCAACAGACGCCACTTTAATAGAAGACCTAAGACCGAGGATAATTAATGCATTTGATAAAATAAGAGCTTTAGCTTTTAGAATGACAACTTGTGTGCTAAAATACGGGAAAACATGTGTATTCGATGCATTGATGTGAACTAGACACATTGAAAACCTAAAAATTTAAATTAGATTTGCATTAATTTGATATACTATTGTATGTATGATGTACTAAACTGGTGTAAAATAAAATTTATTCTATTCTATTTTATTAAATAAAATTTTAAGTTAATATTGATTTATTCGCGGTAGCGGTTAGCGGTATTTATGTTTTAACAAATTAATAAAGTGATTTTAAATAAAAAGCAAGTGAAGTAATTGATTAGTGATAAGAATGTAATATTCGGCTACTCGACCCGGCGAACGCGCCGTCGCGTCACCGCGTCGCTAGGCTCGTTTTGATGTTGCCGCCATTTTAGCATCGCTGCCTGACCCGTGTGATCAATGGTGCTCCAATTTGGCAATATTTTATTGTATTTATTTTGTTCTAAATTTGCATTTTTGTATTTTATAAAAAAAAAAAACCGACTTATGTATATTGAACTGTGTAATCTGTGATTCAAAGGTTTGTCATAACTCTGGTGCCACAGTGTAGACATGCCCCTTCAAATTACCCACATTTTCACACGTCACTTCTACCAAGCGGTAGTTGTACAATATATTCAGTATTCTAATGAAATTAAAGTTGTCAATGGTTTACAGATTCACAAAGGCCCAAAAAAAGAACAAGAGAAGAATTATTAGCCAGAAAACGAGCAGCTGAACAAGCAAGAAGAGATAAGATTAAATTGAATAAGGAAAAACAAAGATACCAGACAAGGGAAGAAGATAATAAGTTGATATAGTACAAATAAATGACATAACACCCAGACAGTAGAAGTACTCAAGCCCTTCAAAGGTGCGATGCAAGTTCACCAAATTGTTTAGAATATGTGTCCATGCTAAACATATGGGATTTATTGTTTACCCACATCAAGCAGCTCTCCTATAAGAAGTAAACCAATCATAATATCAAACATATTGATTGCCCCTGCGAAAGAGTCACTGCCAACTGCATATCAACCTGAAGTCTCGATGTCGTCGTACTTACCATCTGATGTCGTTTCCCTTTATCGTTCTCACAATTTTATACCTAAAGGTAATGTTGTTGTTGTTGTTAGCCAGTTGAGATACAGGATATTAAAACTGATCACAGCAGTAATATCATACCTGAATCAGTCTTGACTGATGGTCTGACATCAACAGCACAGGATATAAAATGCTCACCAAATGAGACAAAAGTTTGTTTATGTTCTGACCTGAAAACTATTCCCGATTTTGTGTAACCCATTGCAGAAGATACTGAATTACGGATAGCTTCTCTGCAAAATGTTGTAACCAGTACAGCTGAAACCCCGGGATCATGTTGATTAGTTGATGCTCAATTGCTTCAAGGTGATACACGTCTTTTTGGCGAAAACCCTAAGTCAGCCTCCATAATTACTACTATGTAACCCTGTTTTATCTATTTTGTGACCCAAGTAATTAACACTGTTTTGTAAGAATGCACATTTATTTTTTTCTAACCGTAATCCACCTGTTTTAAGGCGTTCAAATACTTGTTCGAGACGCCGTAAATGTATGATTTTGTTTAGTCCACTGACACAAATATCGTCCAAAAATATTGCTACGCCGACTATACCCGCTAATAAATTCTCAATAACTCGTTGAAAAATCGCCGGCGCACTAGCCAGGCCAGATATAAGTCGTGTATACATGAACAGGCCCTTTGATGTATTTATTGTAGTTAGTTTTTGTGATTCCTTAGACAGTACAATTTGATTATAAGCTTGGCTGCAATCTAACTTCGTAAATTGTTGCCCTCCACTTAGTTTCGCAAAAACATCCTCAATACGAGGCAGAGGGTATTTGTCAACATGAATGTCTTTGTTTAGAGTAATAGAATAATCCGCACATATTCTTACCTGGCCGTTTGATTTTTGTACGGGGACGATGGGTGTTGCGTAATCAGAATGAATTATAGGAACAATAATACCTTGTTTTATTAATTTATCCAATTCGTTTTCTACCTGTTCCTTGATAGCAAAAGGGAGGGGTCGAGCTTTGCAAAACTTGGGCTGAACATTTTCTTTTAATTGAATGCTAACCTCAAGACCTTTATAACACCCAAGTTCGTTTTGGAATAACTCAGAATATTTATTCAATAATTTTTGAATATTAGTCTCATTCGGATTTAACATTTCTAATTTATTTGAGACGAAATAAATACCAAACTTGGTCATAAAATCACGCCCAAGGAGTGGAGCGTAACCACCATTCTTAATTACATAAAACATTATATTTTCTTTGTGGTTATTAAATATAACCGGTAAGGAACAGTAACCCGTGGGTGATATTTTATGACCATTATAGAAGCACATTCTTAAATTAATTAGTTTTTTTCTCAAGTACCCTTACAATGATTGTAAGGGTACTTGAGAAAAAAACTTTAAATAATAATTTTCTGACATAACGCTTGTACTCGAGCCGGAATCGAGTTCCATTTTAAAATAAAAGCCATCAATACACACAGACAACCATATTGGTTCATTAATAACGCACCTTAAGTTGTACAGTTGACATTCTTCGCAATCGTGACTGCCATACGCCTCTTCCGTTCCGTTACGTTCAGTTGACTCCATACCAATATTGTTCATCTTAAAGTCGCACACTTTTTTCAGGTGTCCTTTATTATGGCACTTATTAACCCGATAATTTTTGAACCGACACCTCTCTGCTGTATGATTCTTGAGTCCACACACTGTGCACCGGGTCGCAGGAAAGTCGCGAGTACGCCGATTCTCACTGGCGCGGCCACCACCACTCCTAAACGCCGCATTCGCCTTGAACAATGGTTCCACCTTGACCGTGACTGGTTCACCAGCCTTCGCCTGCTTCACACATGCAACCAGTTGAGCAATTTCTAATGCTTTCTCGAACTTTAAAGCCTTCAGATCTTGTTCCCTCAGTCTATCACGTTCCGGTCCTGATCGGAACCCTAGTACGAAACGATCACGCAGCAAGGTGTTTAGCTCTGTGCCAAATCCACAGTGTACAGCCAGACCCCTTAAGCGTGCTGCCCATTCTTCCACACTTTCGCCATCTACCTTCTTCGCTTCATAAAAATTATCCCGCTCCGCAAAAGTAGATCTCCTTGGAGTGAACTAAGCATTGAGTACATCCACCAGCTCTTCGAATGTCGCCTCCTCGATTGATTTGGAATGAAGCAAGTTGCCAAGCAATCGATACAAATCTTCAGAAAAGTTCGTCAGCAGTGCCGCACAGTGTTTTTCTTCTTTAATGTCATTCAATTTTAAAAACATTATCAACCTTCCATAAAAAATGTTCCATTCCATGGTCTTGTAGCCGAAACATCCTAGACTTCCAATAAAATTGGTCATTTTAGGTCGTTTATTTTCTTTACCAATTTTTTATTTCACAACGACGCGTCGATGGTTATGTATAATCCTCGTCGCCAAATGATATATCGGTAGGTGGTAAATAAATAACAACGTGTGCTTCACTCAATCACTGGTTTATTGTTGCCTTATTTGACAAGCCGTCGTACATAAGTGTCTCGGTAACTTACTATGTACATGTTATAACCATACATAACACTTTCAAAATTGGATCTTGGGTCATTGTTTCCTAAAAAGTCAAGAAAGCAACGAAATACTTCGTTGACCAGAATATTAACACCAATGAAGATAGTACATTTGTTGTTGAGTTTTTAAGAAGACTCAAGGGCACGACTGATACTTTTACTTGGCCGGATAATGACGACGAATATTGTGTCTCAGAACATTCTATAGCAAGGACGCTCAGTGAGACAAATATTAACCGAAGTGGTCAACTAATGTTTAATGATATCCAAGACTTTGCCCTTAAATAATTTTTATGTACTTTTGATTACAAATATTTTTTATAAAACTTAAGATTTGATTATTAAATAATGGTGATGATGATGATGATCATTTAATACTATTTTTGTTTTATTGTTTAGTAGACACTAATTCACATGTTGTCAATACCGTGTATCAATTAGTAATGACCATGTCCCGATTCGTAATTTTCATTGCCAAAATTAGTCTTCTAAAGTTTTGGGGGCTAATAATACTAATAATTATTTAAGGAAATAGTGAAAAAACTCCGATCAGATTATAAATGTAGACATTCTACACACATTTTTCTTTTTTTTTTAATCTTTGCATATTTGCATATTTTTGAATAATACAGGATGACAGGGTATGTCACATCTCGGGCACGCCGTCATCGCGGCGGTAAGACCCGTTATGAAGGATTGGCTCGAGAGGCGTCACGGGACCCTCTCATACCGATTGACGCAGGTGATCACTGGGAAGGGATGTTTCGGGGATCACCTGTGTCTGATCCGCAAGGAGCCAACGCCTGAGTGCCACCACTGCGATGGCCAGACCGTGGTCACGGCTCTCCACACACTGGCAGAGTGCCCGGCGTGGGTTGAGTAGAGGCGAGACCTCGTGGCGGCCATCGGAGTGGGAGTTCTCTCGCTCGATAGCCTGATTGCGGCTATCGTGCGGAGCGAGAGTGCGTGGAACTCTGCCGTCTCCTTCTGCGAGCAAGTTATGCTCGCGAAGGAGACGGCGGAGCGGGACCGGGAGAGGTTTAGGACTCTCCCGGCCCGCCAGGCCCGGGAACGGGCCAGGTACCGCAGGCGACTCAGGCGCCGGAGGTCGCAGAACGACCTCCGTCCTCCATAAGCGCAGGCCTGGGGGTGACAGGTGAAGCCATCTGTCACCCTAGCAGAAGCAGGCCGGGGTGGCGGCGAGCGCGTTGCGAAGCGCGCTCGCTTCCAGGGAGGACAGGGAACATGGGGTTCCCACACGGGGGGGGGGGGGGGGGGGGGGGGGTCGTCTACTCGTCTGTAGATGACCCGAGGAATGTCGGGGCACCAGGGACTTCCTTTCTAGGGTATACCTGGTTCCCCGGCTATTAGTACCCGAGACGGCGTGCGGTTTTAGTCGGTTCGAGTCCGACATGCCACCGATAGGTGGTATCCGAGGGGATTTCCGCACGGAAAAAAAAAAAAAGGGTATGTCACATCTGTAGCTTGCTACATTATACTAATCTGTGCCGTAAAGCTAAAGATGCGTTTTGATAGCGTTTCCCATCCATTAACATCATGGCCGGATATTCTATTGGTTTAGGTCATATGGGACACCAGGGAAAGACAGTGTATATATTTGAGAAGCCTTTTATTATAGGAAACAACTTATATACGCTTACAATCTGCGGACTCCATATTGCGAGGGAGGAAACAGCATCGACAATAATAAAGGTAACCACAGTTAATCATAGACGAGTGTCAGTGATGTGACATTGCACTCCAACACCCTTCCTCAATGTAAACATCACTTACAAAAACAAATCTTTACAATCTTGCAATACAAATTTTAACTATAACTAGGCACTTAACTAAACTCTCAAGTTCACAGAACACTATAACCTCAACTCTGAACAAAATCCAAAAACTAAATGTTCTTTTCAAACTATATATAAATCAAAAGTTTTAATTATTATTATATATATATAAATCAAAAGTGTTATTAATTAAATACTCTTAAGAAAACAACCTGTCTCTCAATTTAACAAAAACAACTGTACTTAATCCCTTTGTACATAGATCAGCAAGCTGATCTTCTGATGGTCCATATTTCAAACATACAATTTTATCTTCAACATTGAGTCTCACAAAGTGATACTTAATATCTATATGTTTGAGACGCTGGTGGTACTCTGGATTCTTGGCAACATGGATTGCAGACTGATTATCAATATTAATAATAAAACTTTTACAATTAACCCCTATTTCTATTAGTAAATTCCTTATCCAACAGCCCTCTGCAATTCCCTTGGCTAGTGCGACATACTCTGATTCTATACACACTGCTGCTTGTTGGAGGACCAAGACACTGTATCACCAAAAACTTTTAAGACATAACCTGATGTAGATTTTCTATCACTATGATTTCCTGCCCAATCAGCATCTGTATACCCTTTTAACTGCACATTAACCCCATTTTTATAAATTAATTTTAATCCTACTGTTCCCTTGATATACCTTAAGACTCATTACCACATCCTTGAAACCGACTAAAGTAGTTAAATGCATAACACAGATCCGGACGTGTTCCTAGCATAGCATACATGAGACTTCCTATTAACTGTCTGCATCTTTTGATTAATTCGTTATTAGAAAATTCTTCTTTATGTAATACTAATCCTTGTTCTATAGGTGTTGACAAAGGTTTACATTCTTCCATATTATACTTCTTTAATAAATCTTTTAAGTACTGCTCTTGGTCTAACTCAATTATATCTCTCTTCTATATAACATGAAATATTTAGGAACAAATATCACTAATATTTATTCCTAAATATTTCATGTTATTGCCATCTAAATCTCTCATCTCAAATTTTCTCTGCAATGCTTCTTTTAATCTGTGTATTTTAATGCTTGTCTTTACATACTAAAATGAAATCATCAACATATAATATAACATAGAACTTCTTATCCATTCTATAATATAGGCAAAAATCACACTGGCTTCGTGTAAATCCTTCCTGAATCATAAATTGATTAAACTTCTCATTGCAATATCTTGGCCATTTCTTGAGACCATATAGAGAGCGCTGTAATTTTAATACTTTGCAATCTTGCTTTATTCCTTTTAGCTTCTCTATGAACACCTCTTCCTCTATGTTCCCATATAAGAATGCACTCTTGACATCCATTTGTTGAATATCCATATTGTATTTGCTCGCTATTGCTAATAAAATACGCAGTGTAGGTAGTTTAGCGACTGGGGAATAGATATGTGAATGATCAAATTGATCTTCTTGCTTAAAGCCTCTTGCAACCAGTCTTGCTTTATAAATATTTTTATTTCCTTCTTTCTTAATCTTGAAAACCCACTTGGTGTCTATTAATTTCTTCTCGGGTGGCAAAATAACCTCTCTCCATGTTTTATTTTTATTTAACGCTTCTAGCTCTACTTGTATAGCTTTTAACCATTCTTCTTTGTGTTTTCCACTAACCGCCTCTTCATATGTAAACTGTTCTTCTTCTTGAGCTATCATTGCCAAATCATAATCTTTTGTCCATGCTGGCTTTTTCACCTGCCTTTTTCTTCTAGAAATCTTTTCTCTGTTATTAGAAACCTCTTCTGAATCTAAGAATTCTTCATCAAGATACTCTTCCATCATGCCTACTTCACTCGATGCTACATCTTCTGCTATGTTTCTTTCTTCTTGCTGCTGGACATCTCTGTATTCTTCTTTCTCAATATTATCTTTTTGATTTTGATTTTCTTCTTCATCTTTCTCTGTTGATTCTTCACTCTCTGGTAATGTACTGTTTGAGTTAATATTCTTCTTAACATCTATTTTCTCCTTGACAAATATAATATCCCTATGAGTCTCTACTTTTCTTATATTTGGATACCATACCCTGTATCCTTTTGTGTGAACGTTATAACCCACAAAAACTCCTAATTTTCCTCCTAATCTAAGTGTGTACACACTGTAGTACCAAAATCTCTTAATAAAGTAACATCAAAGTTCTTATTATACAACATCTCATATGGTGTTTTATTACTAATTTTACTTTTTTCCTGTTCGGTTTATTACAAATACCGCTGTATTCACAGCTTCAGTCCAAAGTTCTGTGCTTAGACCTGATTGTATGATCAATGTTCTCGCTGATTCTACAATGGTACGCATTTCTCGTTCTATCCTCCCATTTTGCTCAGGTGAGTTACTTACTATTAACTCATGTACTATGCCTCTCCTTTTAAATAAATTCTCAACTGCTCTGTTAACAAACTCTGTACCATTGTAAACTCATTTTCAAACTGCTCTATAAATTCTTCAGTTTTCTCTTTAGTTTCACACTTATTTTTTTAAAAATAAACAAACCTAAAACTGCTACAGTCGTCTTTCAAAAAAAGAAAATATGAAGAACCCCCACAGTTACTTCCTCCATCGGGCCGCATAGATCCATATGTATAAGTTCACCTATTTCAACTGACCTACTACTACTATAGCCAAAAGGTAACCTATGCTGTTTTCCCTGAATACACGGTAAGCACTGATCAGTCTGCTCTTCATATTTTATGCCTCTAGAATCTAAGAACTCTTTTACATACTTATAATTCTGATGTGCAAACTTAATATGCCAATCTGTCAAAGTTAACAAAGCTACATTACTTAATTTAAATCTCATTACATACATTTTGTCACATTTGTCGGCTATCGCTGTAACAACATTATTTTTATAAAACTTACACCCATTAGAATCTGATAACATCTTGTGACTTTTATTAATTGCTGCTGATAAAGAAAACAAATTTACTTTCAAGTTTGGTACATACAATACGTTCTCTATTGTACAGGCAGTATATTCAGAACCATTGAAGGCATGCACAACCACTTTCCCAATACCTAATACTTCTAACTTTGTACCATCGCCTATTGTGACAAATTTCTTATTTATTAACTCACAAAACTCTGTAAAATACTCTTTAATAAAACACAGGTGGTCACTAGCGCCTGAATCTAAAACAAAACTTTTTATATTTAATGAATTACATTCAATCTCTCTGGTTGTATGACTAACAAAAGTTTCTGAACTAGAACTCTTACTTTTCTCTTTAGACTTATTTTTCTCGCTGTATTTACTCTTCTCATTAGATTTATTTTTAACTAATTTGCAATCTTTTATTAAATGACCCTTCTTTTGACATGGCCCTTGTGGCGTCGTAAGTTATTGCCACACATTTGCATTGGAATATGGAACTGTGTTGGTCTAACGCTAGTGTTATGTTCATATTTAGGTCTTGCGAGAAAGCTCCGGCTCCAGTTCCTGACCTAGGCTTGGAACCGTCCGTGTAAATTCGGACTTCATTAATACCGGATTGATCTCGGTCATTTTCTCGCATCTGCATGTGGTATCCTTTTTGTGAAGATGTGGTGTTTTTGGATTCTATCGTATGGGGCTGCTATAAGTGGTCTAATTATCGCCATGGCGGCCTCCTGCTGAATGATGAATAAATCCGGTGGGGGCAGACCCAGAGCCACCTCCTGTGCGGTAGTTGGCATTGTGCGCATACAGCCAGTGACCACAGAGCATGGGAGTCGCTGGAATTGCTGCAATTTGTTTATGACGGTGTGATGTAGTAGATGTAAGATAGATATAAGAGAAACTATAAAACAATGTATTGATTCGAATTATAGTCAGTCTTGCATTCACATTCAACTGAGTATTATTTACATAGACTCCCAACGTCACATGGCGACCCTGCCATAAAAGGCGCGTGCGCGCGTCCTGTGTGGTCCGTTAAGATACAGAGTACTCGAATTTCTATTTGTCGCGATGGCGGAACATTTTGTGCGGTATATAATGTTGAGTTTTCAGGTTAAATGATGAAGTCCACCATAGCCAGTAAGTATGTCTTTATTTTCATAAGTTATATTACAATGCAATACGCATGTCCGCCATAGCTAAGTCTAAGTGTAGTGACGTACCACTGACAAGTATCGAGAGACGATAGTAGTGTTGTACTACCTAACATCTCCCTTTTTTTTTTATAAAAAAGATTAACTTTAACATCTTAAATGTATTATAATAATTAAAATGAATTTTTACATATTACCTACAAGATTCCATGGCTATCATTAATTAATTTTTTTTTTCTATAATTAAAACCAATATGTAATGTTTTCTTCAAGCCATGAAAACTTTTACAAATCTATATTTACTTTTCTCTTGCCTGTAATAAAAATAAAAAAAAATAAACAAGAATCTATGGATATCAAAATACACTATATGACTGTCAACATGACAATAGACAGTTCTGACATTGACACATATCTATTAGCTTAATTATAACAAAATTACTGGATAATTACACAAGACAACATTAACAATAACGCTTTGGCTTTTTAATTACACGCCCTGAACGGGTTGTTATTTGTGTATTATTCGTACTAGGCTTAGAGTTAGTAGTATTATCCTGTGTGCTAATTTGACTTTCAGTTTCAGGTACAGTATCAGTCATGGAATCGGTTGAGTTGGAAGTAGAAGGCTTTAAAATGTGTTCACGGCTTCTACGGAAGATGCCTTGAGGTGACTTGATAATGTAACTGCGTGGATGAACATCTTTTTGTGATACTACACCCGGAATCCAAGTATCTTGTGGTTTGTGCTTAAAGTAAATTTTGTCATCATGTTTGAGTGCTGATAGTGACTTTGAATCCTTATTGTAATAAAGTGATGATTTGAATTGTAGTTTTTTAATGTTTTCCTTTAAGCTTCTGATATCAGCAGTGCAAGGTGTGAGTGAATGTTCTGATGTAGGCAGTTTTGTACGCAACTGTCTTGACATACATAACTGTGATGGAGAATAACCGGTCTGTTTTGGTGTATTCCTATACATTAAAAGTGCTAAATAAGGGTCTGTATTATCTGCTTTGCATTTCTTTAGTAGGGTTTTAATAGTACCTATTGCCCTTTCTATCATTCCATTAGATCTGCTTAGGTATGGACTGGAAGTTGTGTGTTCTATTCCCCATGTTGTAATAAATTTTTTAAATTCTTTACTGTTAAAAGGAGGTCCATTGTCTGAATGCATAACTTCTGGGATTCCGTGACGGGCAAAAATAGATTTTAAGTGAGTTATGACTGTCTTTGAATTTGAATCTGACGTTAATAATGCAAGCTCTATATACTTTGAAAAATAGTCTATTAATATTAAGTACTTATTACCATTTATTTCAAAAATATCTATACCTACTTTACTGAAAGGTAGCATTTTATAGTCATGGTGTAACAGTTATTTTTTTTGTGCATTTGTGATACGTACGATAATGCGATAAAAGCGACACCTGTTGGCCGCATCGCTTTGTTGTTGATTTATCTAAAGTAGTTTGTAGCTACGGTATTGATCTCCTTTGTTCACTTTCGGACCACTAGATAGCGTTGGTTTGAGACATAATAGATTGATAAAAAGACTTCCTTTTTTAATCTGTTTTGTTATTCTGTCATGTCAAATTGTGTAGGTGTTGAGAGTGTTCAGCTATGGTGGAAAGCAAGTTACTTTTGATTTTGTTAGCGTTGTTTTCTTTCTCAATGTAAATGTCAAAGTGAAATGATGAGGAGGGGTTAACTTCTGGAAGATTCCTGAACCGAGGATATATAGGTCCGGCTTTCTGCCACGGGAGACACTCTGCTATCTCGTGTCTTCCAACCTTAAATAGTGTTTTGATTGTCGTGTAATTTGAATTTCGTAATATATTATCTGTTCAAAAGTACCCACACTAAAGTGGTGAGTATGTTCTTAATTCTACTTAAACCTATTTGTTTCTGGAACCTGTTTAATTATATGAGTGCTAATCCATTCGTAGGGTCCCAGATCGGGGTCAAGACAGTCAGTCTTAGACGGCGTGCTTGCTCTTTTGTGGCCTTCTGGTACAGACTCAAGTTTCTCGGTACCCTCTGGCAAAGCTGGTGATTGCGCGGCTCACGACGCAAGCGGACAGCCGTACCCAAGAGTTACGTACTTGAACTTATAATTGTAATTTGTTGGACTTTTGTCCGTATCTAATATAAATAGCCGACTCGGGCGGAAGAGGAAGTAACCTCCTGGAGGGACGACGAGGAGGCACCGAGCACCATCAGCTCGGCTCTGACGCGCTCCGCTGCGGTTTTTTTTTTATACCCTCTGATTTTTTTTATTGTTAATTTAATTTTGTTTTGAAATATACATGTATGTATGACTGAGGTGTAAGTTGTTTTCCTCTAAAGAGTCCCGTAGGTTTCCCACACGCACACACTTCTTTTCTCTTAGAAGGCGCCCTGAGGTAATCTCATAGATCTCTCCACTGGGTCAGCCGGTGAGTAGTCCGCCTGAGAAGAAAAGCGGCTACAAATTGGCGCCCAACGTGGGGCCAGTGATCCAAACCTCTGTGTGTGTGCTGTGTGAGGGTGCCTGAGGGTATTCACTTTGGAGGAGACACTTCCCTCCGTCCGATACTCCCCAGGACGTTAATTGGTTGTGCGGGTGCAGTACGCATGTAATAATTTTTACCCTCATTATATTTTCAGCCTACCATCATCCCTGAGGCAAGGAAAATATATGAGACACCTAAATTCCAAATTAATACAAAATTCCAACTGCACATATTTCGGGTAAGTTTTGAAACATTTTCTGGCCTAAAATTTTTTCTTTTTTTTTTGAGTTAGCTACTTCTGTTCGTACCTTTGAGGTCCGTAGCGTGAAGTTGTGCATACGTGTATATTCAGTGTGTTTTTTTTCCCAGTACTACTGGTGTAATTTACATGAAACTTAACTTAACTTATAAAGTTTTATGTACCCTCCATTTTTTTATATAACCTCTTGGCTTAAAATTAGAATAAAATAGTTTTGTGATATACATACCCTACTTAAAATTTATGTTGAAATAACTTTTATGATAATTAAACTTTGTCAATTCATTGGATTACTGTGTTAATGTTCTAAAGATAATATAACTTGTGTCTTGAATTGTGAAACAAGAATATCTTTGTCTTTAGTTGAATTTGCTTCTCAAGTTTTGAGAAATTACTTGATATTTTAATATTTTATTGCAATATTTGTTAAAAATATTAGTGTGCTTTAGCTTTCTCACACTTAATAGTGAAGAAGTATACTCAGTTTCTACTTTGAAATATTACTTGATATTTTAATATTTTATTTTAATATTTGTTAAAAATATTAGTTTGCTTTAGCTTTCTCACACTTAATGGTGAAGAAATATACTCAGTAGCAATATTTTTTACTTTGAGATATTACTTGATGTTTTAATATTTTGTTATAATATTTTTTAAATATTAATTTACTTTAACCTTCTCACACTCTGTTATTAGTGAAGAAGTCTACTCAATATCATTATTTTTTATTTTTTTTTGAACTGTAAAAGACATTAAGTCTGCATTACTGGTTTGTTAACTTGTTAAGATTATTTTTGTATAATCGAATTTAAATTGTAAACCACCATGGCACATTTACGTAAGTGCATTAACTGCCTTAAAATTGATGAACTTATTAATGAACTGTCTTCCATGGGGATTTCAGAGAATCCTGAGGATACGGTTGTCGGATTGCGAAGTGAGATGCGTACTGCTTTGCGGCTTATCCGGCGTGGCCGCTTTAAGGCCATAGCCGCTGTTCCTGCCTTTTCCGCCTCTGACATGGTCTGTCAGCGGGCTTAAGGTCTTTGAACTGGAACAGGTTTTTTCTTCAGGTGACTCCGTTTCGTATTATAAATTGT